CGAGACCGTCGAGTACGACGGATGATATGGCTTCCCCATTGTTTATATATTCCAGAGGAATGTGGCCCACGAACCGCACGTGTAGACTATCAGCCTGGTACTGCAACGAGGCGGAAAACATCAACCAAACGGCCACAAAAGTCTCACACCGAGTCAGACAGACCTAATTAGGATGTTCTGCAAATTTCTGTGCGGACTGTTTAATGCGTCCGGGGATATCCTTTTGTTCCCAATTGGGCTGTGTCAGTGCGGCGGAGCGATGACTGGCTAGAGAGCAGGAGTGGCCTCGGGTGGCTGCTGTGGCGCAACCGTTTGGTCTGCTTAGTCAGGATCGCGTCCTTGTCCGACGCGTCTCGAGGACCTGGCGACACGTGCTCGTGCGCTCGCATTGCTCTCACGGCTCCCGAAACAGCGGCTGTAGACTACTCCCAGTTCCTGGCACCATCGTCGTTCGGCAATATCCGGACTGTATAGTACGACTTCGTGGCTTGATCCCAGTCCCCCGTCCCCCAGACTCACCGGAGCTGCGAAGTCTCTAACGTAGGATCATCTATCCCGTCTAATTCGTCCTCGTCCTCAAGACATCGCCATGGCTGACCATCAAGTACGTCCAATCTGTGCTGATGCTCCCAAATCCACTCATCACCTCACCCGGCCCGTTTACCTTATTCTCGTAGATTGAGAAGGCTTACCAAAAGCAACACCTGTTCCAAAATGCCAAGGCTCGAGGTGCGTGATGAGCTAGAGTTCGGTCTGAGCGGGGGACCGATAGTCACCATGGACTGGCCTGTGTAGGTGGGCAGAAAGTCTCGACGAAGGAGAAGCGATGGTACAAGGACGTCGGTCTGGGTTTCAAGACGCCTGCCGAGGCGATCAACGGCACATACATTGGTGCGTCCTTGAATTGGGCTCGTAGCGAACGCAGTGGTGGCGGAATTCTGATCCTTTCACAGATAAGAAGTGCCCATTCACTGGCGATGTCTCAATACGCGGGCGTATCCTCACTGGTCGGGTAGTATCCACTAAGATGACCCGCACCATCATTATCCGAAGGGATTACCTTCATTACATCCCCAAGTACAGTACGTATCTCCCTGCATCTTGACTCGGTCGTACGTGACGGCGTGTTGTGCATAGACCGTTACGAGAAGCGACACAAAAACTTGGCTGCCCACGTTTCTCCCGCTTTCCGTGTTGAGCTTGGTGATATCGTCACTGTTGGTGCGTGCAGAGCCATGTTAGATTGACGGTATCCGACTGAGACACTTTGAACGCCCTTAGGTCAGTGCCGACCACTGTCGAAAACTGTGCGATTCAATGTTATTCGGGTGGCCAAGAACAAGGCCGCTGCAAAGTCGTTCGGGAAGTTCTAGGCGTCCTGCGGTAGCTGTCGCTATGGGAGAGGGCCGTAGGATATGATATTATTGCTTTCTCATGTGTATGCATGCATTCAAAATGACGATTCGCCCATGTAAATGCCCCGCTACCGTTGCACCGGAGACAAGAGTGAGAGGCGGATGTTTTGAGCTAGACGGCCGGTGGCAATCCGAGCTGGGAGATATGATATGCCGTAAACAACGAACAAACAAGTGCGAGCTGAGGGACCGAGGCCGGGAACGTGCAGCGGCCTGTAGCGTCGCATCTCGTCTTCCCCTGTCGACCGCAGATTGTTTTCTCGCCCGCTGTTCGCCGCAACACGTCTCCCACCGCGAAAGCGAGCACAGCAGCGAGGTTCCACAGTTTCCATTCCCGACCCCTTTTACATCATTTCGTTCAAGCTGGCGCCCACACTCCTGTCTGTCTTCACTTCCAGACTTGGTCGGTCCAGGTCGCAGTCTCCTCAACCAGGCTCGCCCTCGACGTCTTCTCAGGCCCTCCTCATGGGCCAACAGCAGTCTAAACGCACTCGAAAGAGCGCAAAGGACAAGGACAAGGACGACTCTGCCACGCACTCCGATTTTGCAGGCGTCGACGACAATTCGCAGCAAGGTAGCCTGCCTCGCGCAACCACAGCAGAAGGTACGAACGGGTCTGCTTCCTCACCGCCATCCGAAGAGCATTCAGCAAGCAACACTTCATCGTCTGAACCTGCTGCGGCTCCCAAAGCTGGGCATAGCCCCCGACCGGTTGGTTCTGATACCCTCGCCTCTCCGGCCTCCAACTCTAATTCGAAAGACGCATCGCTTTTACCCCCCGCACCATCAGCATCTCCTTCGACGTCGCCTCTCTTAGCTGCCAAACCTCCACCCCTTGATATTCCCATGACACAAACCATCCTTTCTAACGCGAGCTCTCCCTATCCTACGCCTGGATCTACTGGCAGCGTCACCGCCGACCCCATGGCCAATGCCAATGGTGCCCGGGGTGTGGACAAGAACAAACAACTCGACATTGACGACTTCATTCAGCGCTTGCTAGATGTTGGTTATACAGGGAAGGTCAGCAAGTCATTGTGCCTGAAGAATACAGAAATAGCTACGATTTGCCTAGCGGCACGCGACGTGTTCCTCGGCCAGCCTACGCTCATCGAGCTGTCTCCGCCAGTGAAGATTGTCGGGGACGTTCACGGGCAATACTCCGACCTCATACGCCTCTTTGAGATGTGTGGTTTCCCGCCCGCTGCAAATTATCTCTTCCTAGGTGATTATGTGGACAGGGGAAAACAAAGTCTAGAAACCATTTTGCTCTTGTTGTGCTATAAGATCAAATACCCCGAGAACTTCTTCTTGTTGCGAGGCAATCACGAATGCGCCAACGTCACACGAGGCGAGTACTGCGTTTGACTCCTTTCTATCTTTCCTCACATTTTATTCAGTATATGGATTCTACGACGAATGCAAACGACGGTGTAATATCAAGACCTGGAAGCTGTTCATTGACGTATTTAACTGCCTCCCCATTGCTGCCGTTGTGGCCTCGAAGATCTTCTGTGTCCACGGCGGCCTATCCCCTTCTTTACATTCGATGGATGATATTAAACGGATACAGCGGCCAACAGATGTGCCGGATTATGGTTTACTGAATGATTTGTTATGGTCAGATCCGTCAGACACAGCGGCAGATTGGGAGGACAATGAGCGCGGCGTTAGCTACTGCTTTGGCAAGTCGGTGCTGAACGATTTCCTAATGCGCTATGACATGGACCTCATCTGCCGCGCGCACATGGTGGTTGAAGATGGCTATGAATTTTGGAATGAGCGAACACTTGTCACGGTGTTTAGCGCCCCCAATTATTGTGGAGGTCAGTCTTCTATTTGTTCCGCGATGCACGACAGGATTATTGATGTGGCAATCAGAATTCGACAACTATGGGGCCTGTATGAGGTGAAGCCTTCGCTTTCTTACGAGATGGTGTGTGCTGATGTGGATGCCACAGTGTCTCCGAAGAGCTTTTGTGTGCATTTGAACTTTTGAAACCATTGGATGGTCCAGCGCTGAGGAAGGAGATGACAAAGGCGAAGCGGAAGACGTCAGTCTGATCTTCTTTTGCTGTGCCATTTTTGTCTGACAGATAAACCACCCTTAGGCTGATGGCGACCACTACCTGATTTCGCTCAAAACGGCGAGTCCAAGAGTATCGTCACAGAACCGCTTCGCCTTGATTACGGCGAGGACCGAATTCGGTAGATGCGCGGTCACGCCGAGATCACGTCGTTGAGGCGAGCACTCTCGGAGGTTGTTGTATACCGCCATCTTACCCGCTATGTCGCATCTCGTCCTGACCTTGTCCCATTGTTCGCATTTGAGCTGTCCGCGATATCATACAGCCACTCTAACGATCCGTTTGTCTTCTCCCTGCTGCCCTGGCTCTATTGTACGCTCTCGCTGGAACCCCGAACTTCTATCGTGTACCATTTTCGCGCATTTACGGGTTTGATCTGGCCTTCTCCATCGCTTGCATTGTTCTCATCTTGCCCCGGTCGACGTTCACGAGCATTTATTTGAACCTACCCTCCGCTTCATTTGTCCTGTAGCTACATGCCCAAAATTTTTGCATTATGGCCGTCCAGGCGCGGCGTCGATGAGGACGCCGGTGTCGGGCTGTGCCGTTCTCATATCAACCGGGACCGAATGCGTGCACACTCTGAAATCTAAGTCACGCTGTCGCGCAGCAAATATCTGCAATAATGTAGTTATTCCGGAAACGCTATAATAGTCTACCACGTCGCGCGCGCGCGCACTCATGCGTGCCGCCGCCCCACCATGTCGTACGCCAGTAT